TTACCATATGACTATCTGATTGGTCAACAGTAAACAAACAATAACTTAGTCAAATATGACTGGATTCTAATGAGACTTGTGCCGTTTTTGTTTAAACGGTCAAACCAGTCGGACCACAGTTGTTCGTTTATTAATTAAGGCCGGACCTAGTAATCTGATGCTGCTTTCAGGCGAGGCTTGACAAAGCCGTGCACGGCCTACATAGACATTTGCAGGTCCACCAGGATTTATACCCGAAATTGTTACATTTACGAGAGGCCCAAGGGGCCTTAGCGGTCACCTGAGTTATATCATAGGTACTGGTAGCTTTATTTTATTGTTTAGATGTGATGTGGAAATCAGCATGTAAACTAAGTGAAATACAATACTTGTCATGTCATCAAAGGCTAAGAATTTTAAAATATTTGTAAATGTTCCCTTTGGGGCCCTGCTCTAACCCCTGGGGATGGGGCAGGAAATCCAAGATTACAATTTGATACCGTCATCCACCAAAGATGATTCTGACCAAGTAAAAATAATTTCCAACAGAAAATTGTCAAAATATACCCAAAAGTGTTGTTTCCCTATATAAACTATAGTAAACTTTACCCCCTCCCCAAGGGAGAACGGATAGCTCAGGGGTCCTGAAATTTACAATTTTAATAAAGCCCCTGATGATCTTTCCATCCATGCAGAGAAAATGACTGTAATACCTCTGAGTCTGGAGGAGAAGATTTTTGAAATTTGGTGAATTTTCCCTTTTGGGCCCCCCCTGGCCCCTAGGGTTGGGGTAGGAATCCCAATTGTAAAATTTAAAACCATCTTCCTCCTCCAAGGATGATTCTGACCAAGTAAAAATAATTTCCAACAGAAAATTGTCAAAATATCCCCAAAAGTGTTGTTTCCCTATATAAACTATAGTAAACTTTACCCCCTCCCCAAGGGAGAACGGATAGCTCGGGGATCCTGAAATTTACAATTTCAAAAAGCCCCTGATGATCTTTCCATCCATGCAGAGAAAATGACTGTAATACCTCTGAGTCTGGAGGAGAAGATTTTTGAAATATTGGTGAATATTCTCTTTTGGGCCCCCCCTGGCCCCTAGGGTTGGGGTAGAAATCCCAATTGTAAAATTTAAAACCATCTTCCTCCTCCAAGGATGATTCTGACCAAGTAAAAATAATTTCCAACAGAAAATTGTCAAAATATACCCTAAAGTGTTGTTTCCCTATATAAACTATAGTAAACTTTACCCCCTCCCCACGGGAGAACGGATAGCTCGGGGGTCCTGAAATTTACAATTTAAATAAAGCCCCTGATGATCTTTCCATCCATGCAGAGAAAATGACTGTAATACCTCTGAGACTGGAGAAGAAGATTTTTGAAATATTGGTGAGTTTTCCCTTTTGGGCAGGAATCCCAATTTTACAATTTGGTAGCGTCATCTACCAAGGATGATTGTGACCAAGTTTGAAAAAATTCCATCCACTGGTTCTTGAGAAGAAGTTGATAATGTAAAAGTTTACGCACGACGGACAACGACGGACGGAAAGCAAAGCTCAGGTGACCTAATAAACGGTCAAACCGGTTGTTCCGCATAAACGAACAGACCCATGGTCAATATTTACACTTTAAATCTGTCAATAATCAATAAACTATGGAAACATCTTTGGTTTTAATGGTGTAAGATGAATTGATTATTGGCAAAAAGGGACAATTTCTATTTTTATGGTTTCAATTGTGTATGTATGTATGTACATGTACAAAGGGATTCAATTGCAAATCATTTTTAAAGGTCAAAATATAGTTGGTCAGGTACAGTATGTTTTCTCCTTTCATCACAATCAAGGTATAGTCCTCAACTTAGCTGTGTAATACAGTACAAATGTTGTTTTTAGCTCACTAGGTCCAAAGGACCAGTGAGCTAATGATGTTGTGCGGCATCTGTTTTCCGTCTGTCTTTCAATCTTTTCCTTTAAAACACTACAAGTCCGGAATGGCTCTGTGAATTTGAACTTGGAGCTTCCTTGGGCAAAGGAGACTCAACTAGAACTGTAAGCCAAAGGCTAACGTATACCCCCGCTGCTAAATAAACCGAAACAGTAAGTTAAAGGCCTACTAAGGCAAAGCATTGCAAAGCAATCCATAGTCTCCTACCATGCAGTAACAAGTATTTCGCACAAAAAGGGTTGAAATCCCAAATTAAAATGAGGGTGCACAACTGCATAAGATACCGATCATTCATGCAAAGTTTCAATGAAATCCACCTGTGAGTTTAGGAGGTGTTGTGCGGACAAGTATTTCTCACAAAGAGACATAGCTCCACCAAAAACGGTCGAAATCCCAAATTAAAATGCTGGTGCACAACTACATAAGATACTGATCATTCATGCAAAGTTTCAAGGAAATCCACCTGTGAATTTAGGAGGAGTTTTCCGGACATGTTCCAGTATACTCCCCCCCCCCCCCAACGGTGGGTGTGGCCATCCTGGGGGCAGGGGGGTGGGCCCAATAGGGAAAATTGTGGTAAAGGTACACAATCCTTCCCCTTTGATAAGGTTGGAGGGAGTTTAACTAAATTTTGCATAGAAGATCCTTGAACAAAGGGGATTTAATTTTATATGATTGGAGGATGTGTGTGAGAGAGGGAGGGGAGGGGGGTGGGGCAGAAGGTGCGGCCCAATGGGTAAATTTAGGTGTGTTTTTTAAAATCGTTCTTCTGTAGGAAAGGATGGATTTAAACAACTCTGTCGAACTTCCTTTGGTAAAAGGAATTGAAGGTCGGTAAATGGAGGGTGCAGGTTTCCTGGGGGCATATCATTGCTATGCTGATGACACACAAATTTACATGGTCATAAAACCACAGGACAGTTGAAATACAGTCTCAGAAAGTCTGGAAGCTTATCTGACAGATATCAGTATCTGGATGAACGCCAACATGCTTAAATTTTAATCAGGAAAAGACGAAACTAATCGTCTTTTCCCCAAAGTGTCAGCAAACAATGGCTCTCCAGCTCAAGGTTGGAGCCAGAACTATTGAGACTGTTCCAGCTGTTAAAAACCTAGGGGTATACTTTGACAGTTCTCTAAACATGGAGAAACAAGTGAACGCTATTGCCAAATCCTGTTACTACCAGATCAGGAACATCGGCTGTATTCAGCAGTTTCTAACTGCAGATGCATGCAAAATTTTGGTGCATTTACTTGTAACCTCTCGGTTGGATTATGGTAACGCCCTGCTCTGTGGTATATCTGACAAACTTACTAGTCATCTGCAGATGGTCCAGAACACTGCAGCACAGCTAGTTACTCGTACTCGAAAGAGAGAGCACATCACACCTGCCCTTTATTCGTTGCACTGGTTACTTGTACGATACAGGTCGCAGTACAAAATTCTGGTATACACATACAAGGCACTGAATGGAACAGCTCCTCAGTACCTACAGGAACTTGTTACCCTGTATCAGCCGTCAAGATCACTGCGGTCNTTACCATCTGCTATTAGGAAGTCAAATACCCTGGCCAAGTTCAAGAGGGACATAAAAACTCACTTCTTCACTTCTGCAATTTAGAATCTTTGCAAAGACGTCATGTAAATACCACCCTTTTATTTGTTCAAGTATGTGCACATTGCTTGTTAAATGTATGAAAGTGATTGCAAGCCTTTGTTGTTTGTTTTCACAATTATAACCATTACTAATATCCATATGTTGTTAAGTGCCTTAGAGTAATTTTACAAATTATATAGGGTGCTATATAAATGCTGTATATTATTATTATTATTATTATTATTATTATTGGGGGCGGGGGCATATTAGAACAATTTTGAACCCCCACCACCTGAGAATATTTCCAAACAAATAATATGCATTCAACCCAGTCCAACAGTGTGTGCAGAGACCTTATCAATGTACTGATCCATAGTTTCAGTTTGTGTACAAGCATATAATATTACAGCACTGCTTAGTAACCCTTGTTCTTGACCGGTATGTCTGACTTATTCAGCCCAAACTCTCTTTTAATAGACAATGGCGCATGTCACTGCCACAAGCCATTGGCATTAATGTGAAATCAGGACACAGTCTATAGCAGTTCATTTAAACAAGAGGCCCATGGGCCTTAACGGTCACCCGAGTTCTGATATATTTATACAAAGTTGATTTTTGTTTTTAAAACATGAACATAAGTATTATTCAAAGTGACAAAAATCAATAAAACAAAACCTTATTCAATATCTAGCATACAGATTTAAAACTGAAAAGTATTTGAACTTAGCACCTCTGATTCTAAACAAGGAAAATGAAGAAATTTTAGCACACTGACTCCTTTGGACGCCCTTGGGATTACGGCTGGCTCAAAATGTTCAAAGTATCAAACTGTCAACTCAGGGTTATATTTCCAATCAAGTTATTATCATGTTTTGGTAGAACACCTTAAAACCCTTCCATCTATGATGAGTAGTTGATTCTACCATATCTGGGTCTTGAGAAGAAGATTTTGAAATTTCAGTCATTTCAACCCTCTTTGGCCCCACCCATCAGCCTCTGGGGGTCAGTCAGGGCTCATATGTGCATACCATCAAACTTCTATCCAATACTGATAATGCTATCCCAAATTGAATTACTTCCAATGGAAATTAAACAAATGTTGGTCCAAAATGTGATTTCCCTATATAAACTATAGTAAAGTTTACCCCCTCCCCAGAAGGAAACGTGCGACTCCATGGTCATAAAATTCACAATTTTGGTTAAGCACCTCAAGACTCTTCCATCTATTAAGAGTTTTTGATTCTACCATATCTGGGTCTTGAGAAGATTTTTGAAATTTCAGTCAATTCAACCCTTGTAGTCAATTTGACCCTTTTTGGCCCCGCCCCTCAGGCCTCTGGGGGCAGGGGACCAAATCAGCCACTATTATTGTTGACCTTTGGCCATGGAAGGATATGTGCATCCAATACTGATAATGCTAACCCCAAATTGAATTACTTCCAATGGAAATTAAACAAATGTTGGTCGAAAATGTGATTTCCCTATATAAACTATAGTAAAGTTTACCCCCTCCCCAGGGGGAAACGTGAGACCCCAGGGTTAAGAAATTCACACTTTTGGTAAAGCACCTTAAGACCCTTCCATCTATGAAGAGGATTTGATTCTACTACCCCCTCCCCAGGGGGAAACGCGAGACCCCAGGGTTAAGAAATTCACACTTTTGGTAAAGCATCTCAAGACCCTTCCATCTATGAAGATTATTTGATTCTACCATATCTCAGTCTTGAGAAGAAGATTTTTGAAATTTTAGTCAATTTTGCCCCGTTCCTCAGGCCCCTGGGGGCCGGGGACCAAATCAGCCAAAAATCAGTCGAAAATGTAAATTGTTTACGGAGGCACGACGGACAAAAGGCGATCGCAATAGGTCACTTGAGACTTTGTCTCAGGTGACCTAAAGTTCCCAATCTTGGACTTAAAAAGTTACTCCATTTTCTCTATATTGGACTTAAAAATTACACCATTTTCTTTATCTTGGACTTAAAAGTTACACCATATTCTTTAACACCAAGTATTAAAGTGTCAAACATTGATAAGACATAAACAGGGTGAAGTTCCAAGCAGACATGATACCTAGAACACTTCATAGGTAATGTTATTTAATAGTTGACAAAAAGCAAAGTTTTCACTATACAGTGTAGTATATTTGCAATTAAAAGATGCCACTCCTTTGCTGCCATATATTCCAGTTATATGCCTGGTCCAAATGCTTTCGGTAATGGATTTTAATGCCACTCTTCTTCGTTAGCCATCCGTTTCCATATCTTCCTCCAAATTCTTAGTGCATTCTTCTCCTGCAGTTTCCTGCTCATCAAGGTCAAACAAGTCAAGATTATCCTGTAAAAGTAAAATAACTTTGATGTAAAAGGAGTATGAAACATCTATTAACAGACATCCATGATTAGTCATGCCTAGGGACACTTATTTGTTTCCCCTATTGGTTCCTTCCCATCTGTTACAAGGGAAGTCACACCCAATGTTTATACAAAATTGAGTCCCCTTGGCCCAAGGATGCTCCAGACCTAATTGGGATGAAATCCCTCAATCCCTGTGGTAGAAAAAGGATTTCAAGGGCTTTACCTCTATTTCTCCCCACCCATCTGCCCCAAGAGAGGCCACACCCACCTTTATACACAAGGTTACCGCAAGCGGTATATAATACGCCCATCACACATTGAATGAGCAGTTGTTTGTATGATTGAAATATATGAAGTATTTGTGAGTAATTGATATTAAAAGAGAAATCCTTCAACATAACTGGTAGATCAATGAGTGCAATACAACATCATGGAACGCATGCATCGCATTAATGAAACCAAGGGTAATAACTCCAGTAATTACGGTCGGATAATGGCGGTTATCGAACTTGTCCGTGGTTTCATGGTAATTAACCTTGTTGTGAAGTTTGAAGTTAATCCGTTAATAATTACTCGAGATATCGAGCAGACACTGTTTCGGCAAGTCCATAAAGGGGCATAACTCCACAAATTTTGGTCGGATAATGGCGGTTATTAAACTTGTCCGAGCTTTCATGGTAATTAACCTTGTTGTGAAGTTATAAGTTAATCCGTTAATAATTACTCGAGATATCGAGCGGACACTGTTTCGGCAAGTCCATAAATGGGCATAACTCCACAAATTATGGTCGGATAATGGTGGTTATCGAACTTGTCCGAGCTTTCATGGTAATTAACCCTGTTGTGAAGTTTGAAGTTAATCTGTTAATAATTACTTGAGATATCGAGCGGACATCTTTCGCATGTCTGCCTGCCCGCCCGCCCGTCCGCGCCCGCCCGCTCACGTGATAACATAATACGTCCCCATCTTCGACGGGCGTATAAAAATTGAATCCCCATGGCCCAAGGATGCTCCAGACTAAATAAGGATAAAATCCATTTATCCCTATAGTAGAAGGATTTTAAAGGTTTACCTCTATTTCCCCCAATTGGGCCCACCCCACCACTCTGCCCCCACGGGGTATCAAGACACAGGTATAAGTTTTTCTCTATGTCCATATCCAAGACATGATATTGAAACAGCTTGTAAACATACTACAAATCAATTATCATAATTGTACTTGTTAATATATTATTTATATTGGTTTTCATAAGGAAATAAAATGCATTACAAGCACATCATGTTTCCAGGGGCAGATATAGAAATAAAACTAGAAATTGTTGGCTAACAATTTGACAGGCTTTTCACTGTATGGACTGATTTGGCCTTATAGCTATTTACGAGTTACTTCCCTTACACCAGTAGTAAAAGTCCTGCTATCTGGTAAAATTACATGTTCGAATTTGACCTCTATCAAATACCAGAAGTTGATCTTTATTGGTTATTTATGTCAATAAACCTTGTAGCCCATCATTCTAGCATACTACAGACCAAATATCAATACCCTGGGCATTTCCGTTATTGAGAAGGAGTCTTTTGAAGATTTTAACATAATTGACCCCTCTGACCTTGAACATGGGCCAAGGTCATCCATTTTTTAAACTTGATAGTCCATTGCTTGAGCATGATATTCAACAAATATCGTGACCTTGGGTCACTTGGTTATTGAGAAGAAGATTTTTGAAGTTTTTACCCTGAAATAGCACATATGAAATTTGACCCCTAAATAATTCAAAACTTGACCTGGTCAACTCAAATTGTTTTCTGCCAAAAATATGTGCATTAGTGCTGTCAACATCATACCTGAATATAAAGTGACTCTTATGAACAATTTTCGAAATATACTTGATTTTTTTTTTTTTTTTTTTAAACATTTGACCTTTGTCGATCAAGGTCAACCATTTTTTCCAAACCTGATACCCAATCATCTAAGCATTTTAAATATAAAATATAAAGATTCTAGACCTTGTGGAACTTGAGAAGAAGATTTTTACAAGAGGCCCCAGAGGGCCTGCATCGCTCACCTGGATATCTAAGCAATCATGGCAAAATATTCTCCAAATGAGATCCAAGGGAATATGCCAGACCCCAAGGCCAATCCTTGTAGCATATCTGTATTTGATTTTTTATGCCCAGCAATTTTATGTATGGCTATGGGGTGGGGATCTCAACTGTTTCCAAACTGTGACTCGGAAACTAGGTCCCTAGGGTTGGGGCCAGACCCCAGGATCAATTTTAATATCTTGACTGCATTTGTCTCTTTTTGCCCAGCATGTATATATAGTTTTGGGTTGGGGATCTCAACCGTTTCAAAGTTATGACCCAGGGGTTATGTCTGCAAGGGTGGGGCCAGACCCTAGGGCCATCCTGGAAGCAAATGTGCATTCCTCTCGTAATACTCAGCAATTGTATAAATGGTAATATGGTGGGGATCTCAACCATTTCCAAGTAAAAAATATATTTTTGGCCCCGGCCTTTAGCCCGGGGGGTCAGACCCACCATTTGTACAATTTTGAATCCCTGCCTCCCATGAATTCTTCCGACCAAATATGATCAATATCCATGGTACAGTTTTACGGAAGAAGTCGTTTATAGCAATAAAGCCAAATCGCCCCCTTTTGGCCCAGCCCTCAGCCCCCTGGGGGGTCAGCCCCACCATTTGTACAATTTTGAATCCCCACCACCTAGAGATGCTTCCAGTCAAATATGGTTGATATCTATCTCTTAGTTCCAGAGAAGAAGTCGCTTAAAGCAATATAGCTAAATAACCCTTTTTGGCCCCGCCCCTCAGCCCCCACAGGGGTCAGCCCCACCATTTGTACAATTTTGAATCCCTGCCTCCCATGAATGCTTTTGATTAAATATGACAGGGTTGCATTCAGGATTTATGACATTTGTGTACATGCCCCCCTCCTTTCTGACAATTGGGGGGCCACTCTGTGGCTGCCAAAGGCAGCCACCTGAGGAGCGAAGCGACGAGGGAGGGAGGGGGGTTGTGGAGTTTGCAACTGATACAGTTGCAAACCGAATAGAGGAGAACGAAACCAGATTATCAGACTCATCGGAACTCTCTGTTTTCCTTCTACGTCGGTAAAAAGGCCCGAGAAGTTCCGGAATGCGACAGTCTACCATTACAATGATGTCTACAACAACGAATTTACTGATTGATCAATACAAAATACTGCATTATTACGGTGAGTGAAACATTGTCTTGTCTATTTTATTTCTTTATCTCTTTGTATGCTGCATTACTTTTCATAGTAAACAATGCTCCCACTGAATTAATTTGAAGATATTTAATTAAAAGTATTTCAATTTTAAAACCTACTTTATTGGCATTTCTGTAGCTCATACGTATTCAAAACCTATATGTTTTAGGAACCTTGTATAAAGACCTATCTAATTAACCTTAGACATTTTTTGAAAAGTTCCTATAATTACCTGTACAGGTGAGGGACAGGTAAAGTATTTGATAATTAATATAATTTCTTTGTTATTCCCTTTAATTTTCATTAAAATGCAGTACATGTTGACATTTGAAGACAAATAACTCTTATTCTGATATCATACTAAATAACTATGACATTACCTGCTCATTTACAGCTTATAAATGCCCAGGTAAGACAGGTGAACTCAAAGTAAAACGTTCAGTGTCTTGTCCATTGATAATAGCTCATCGTTTGTTCATATTTTTTAAATAAAGACATTCACACACTTTCATATCATATTGATGTTTATTTGATATTAGTTCTATCAGTCATTTTATATACATATAACCATGCAGGTGTGTTAATTACAGGTAACAGTAAGTCAATGCTACGCGTTTTTGAGTCCGATTATGATTCTGTGCTGTCATTTTGGTCACAAAAACTTGGGTCTCTATTAAAGAATCTGTTGTCAATAATTATAAAGAAAAGATTTCTCAATAATTCCAATGAAAATTGTCAGGCAAAATAATTATTCGAGTTCCGAGGCTGACATGTCGGTCCCGAATTGACGTGGTCCCGACAAGATATGTCAAATATAAACAAAGATTGATACGGGCAAATTGATTCTGATTTATGCCGCGATTAGCCTTACATTGGTAAAAAAATACTGTCTGTTTCAATAACTTTATTTGAAAACAATTTGTCATACATGAAGAGTTAGAAATATTCCAAAGGCAATGCGCATGCATCATTATGATTATCGATGTTCACTTTCAAACCTGCGTTGCCGATAATGTCGGAATCGGGTTGTTGTCAATTCTGTACCGTCTCTATCTCGCGGCTAGATCCCGCACAATATCATCGTCATTGTACAAATAAATCATATCGAATGAAGGATAATCATTTAACTCCAATGCTACTATATATCCCACTTCAATACCGTCGAAAATGGCTTCACTACCTAAATCCCCGAAGCATTTGTTAAAAAAAAAATTGTTGGTCCGCCATTTTCTGACGAAGTACTTTCGTTTTATGAATAGCCTTTAATGTGACCTTTGCTAACCTTGTAACCGACTAATCAACGCACAGAAATGATATGACGTGTATATTGAATCCCCCTGACAAGTGATTTGATTGGTTCACGGTTGATAGCTATTAATACGATGACGTTGAACAAAGGGGTTTTCCAAAACGAGTAATCTCGTTTCCCGTGTCTCGAAGCAAAATGTCCAGGACGAGTTTTCTCGCCCTCAATTTGACATAATGCGTACACAGGCGTATTTCTGCGGGATTTTACCCGCACATGAGTTCTATTTATGCGGGCATGTTATCATATTTGCGTCATTGACGCAATGCCGCGCCCTAGATGCAACCCTGATATGATTGATATCCAGTGCATAGTTCTACAGAAGGAGTGGTTTGTAGCAATATAGTCAAAATGCCCCCTTTTGGCCCCGCCCCTCAGCCCCCTGGGGGGTCGGCCCAACCATTTGTACAATTTTGAATCCACAC